AGATTTTTTTTTTTTTTTTAATTGATTAGGTGAAGGGTCTGGAGTTCAGAGAAGTCTGGACCTCGAGGTCCCCTGGAATAAGATGAGATCTCCTAGGGAGGAAGTATACAGAGAGAAGAGAAGAGGTCTAAGGACTGAGCCCTGCAGCAGCCTGACGTTCGGAAAGTCATGAAGAGAAGGGAGATCTCACAAAGGAAGCAAGCATTTGGGGAGGTTTGAGGACAGTCAGGAGCACGGGTGTCTTCGAAGCCAAATGAAGAAAGCATTGCAGGAAATAGAATTGATCAGCATGGGCTAAACGTTAGTGTGGGGAGTGCTTATCCGTGGTGCAAGAGCCAGGGAGGAGCCAAGCCCTCAGGGAAGGGAGAGGGGACGAGAGCAGGCCAACTACTGTAGAAGGGGAAGCAGAGTGTGGGCGGAGCCAGTCAGGTGGTCAGACACAGTAGAGTGTAACCTAGAGCGTATTAAGGAATTTTGCCTTTATCCCTCCTAAGCGCTAAGCCACACAAAGGTGATTAGATACAGGAGTCATGTGGCAGATTTGTGTTTTGAGAAGATCCCTCCAGCTGCACTGGGAGGAATGGGTTGGAGAGGTGGCTGGAGAGAGGTCTTTTCACTAGTCCAAGCCAGAGATTTGGGGAGTTTACCCCAGGATGGGAGTGGTGGAGAAGGACCGTGCTGGGCCAGCTGAGAAGTATTTGCAGCAGCTTGACGGGACACGGTGTTGAAGAGCTTTGGCCATAAAGAATGACCCCTAGGTTTCAGCGTGACCCCTGGATGGTGGATCTGGTGCTCCAGAAACTACAAGAAGATCAGGTGTGGGAACAGGGACAAAGTGAGCTAGGTTGGTGTTTTTGTTTGTGGTTTTTACTTTCTGAAAGGGAGCCAGACATGAAACAAACCTGGAGGACCCTGTGGCCCTTGTATCATGAAGGCTCTTGTAGATCATGAGAAGGATTTTGGTCTTCATCATAACTCTGGAGATCCATGTCAGATGACAACAGTGTCTCAGGTTAGAAGGAGCCTTGACAGATCTAGTCCAGTCCATCTCTTCTGTCCTCCGAGTACCTCTAAGGGGTGGCCTTCTGACTCACGCTGGAGGTGGGGAGCCTTTATCGAGGGGTGGGATCTCAGAACTCGGAGGCTAAGGGAGTGAGGTTTTGAGGTGCTAGGAGCTGACGAGACGGCAGATACATGTGTGGGTCTGGAGCTCAGAGGGGAGAGCTAGGCTGGAGGGATAAGCCTGGGAGTCTGCTGTGAAGAGGAGGAGGTTTTGAAGGGAAGTGTGGGTGGGACTGCCCAAGGACAGGATAGAGCCTGAGAAGAGGAGAGAGCCCAGAACAGGCCTCTGAGGAGTGCGTGTTTGATGGCCGTACAGAAGAGGGTGAGCCTGTAGCAGAGAGAGGAGCGGTCACAGAGGGAAGGTGGTACCAGCACGAATGTACATCCATTCGGCTGATTCATTCGTTCGTTCACTTACTTGCCAAGTATTGGATTGCCTGTGCGCCGGGCACTATGCTAGGCCCAAGGATATAGCTGCAAACGAGACAATTTCTCAGCCGTCACAGAACATACATTCTAGAGAAAGAGACAGAAGATAGGATCGTTTTCCCTGTCAGGAGCTCTGGAGAAAATGAAACAGGATAGTATAGAGAGAGTGGGCGGTTGGGAGTGGTTTCGAATGGGGTGGCAGAGAAAGGGTTTTGTGAGGAGGGGACAATGAAGGTGAATGTTGAAGAGCTGACCGTGGGAGGATTTGGAGGCAGAGTGGCTCAGGCTGAGGAAGCGACCTGTGCAGAGGCCCTGAGAACTCTATGACCAGAGTAAGAGTGACAGGATGATGGGAACAGGACCCGACTGCATAGGATGTCCATGAGGGGGGGCAGGCATTTTCTGGGTGGAGTAAATATTTTAGGCTTTGTGGGCCACCTGGTTTCTGTACTCACCTCTGCTATTGTAGCCCGAAAGCAGCAATAGACGCTGGGTAAGCGTATACATGGTTGTGTTCCGGTGAAACTCCTTTCCACCAACAGCTGTGACATCCAGAATATCAGCGAAAACAGTGGAGCAAGTGTATTTGGAAATCTCCCTTCCATAAAAGGAACCAAAACACTGGCCAAAACGGTCAGAGTCAACTTTTTCAGACTTCTAGAAATTAACCAAATGTTTGTAGCAATCTTACGAGCCTTTATTCAAGAAAAACAGCTGAATCTTGGTCAAAGTAGTGAATTCTTTGTAGTAGTGATGTTTTAACTTGGCCCACCGTTTCCTCTCCAGCTCAGCAGTAGCCTTGGAAAATAGCCTCTATTTCTAGTTCTGGAGGGACCAGAACAGGACTGGACCTGTTTCAAAGCCTCATGCTGAGAGAATTGTCATTATGTAACCTGTCTGGTGCTTTCCTGAAAGATTCTCCTCCCTAGATTTGTCTTTATTTGTCCTGACCCTGAGGTCACCCAGTACTAAAAGCCTTTCACCAGGGGGTGTTTGTCAAAAACAATTACAGACAGGTATTGTGTCTGCCTCAAGTGATGGATAATATTTGGGGCGAAAAATAGACTTAAAAAAGCTTAAAAAGAAAAAGCTTAAAAGAAAAGCTGAGAAATGAGACATCCATATTGGGAATCTTGAAGGTCACATATATATGACATGCTTTTTTTTTTTTTTTTTT